CCCCCCGCCCGGCCGCCAGCAGCCGCTCTGCTCCTCCCCCGCCCCGCGCTCCCTCCCCGCAGTTGGGGATCCCGACTTCCTCCCCGTCGGTAGCCGAGCCAGGCAGGGCAGTGTCCGGCCGCGATGAGGAGCTGATCCCCGAGCGCGAGAGTCCCGCCCGTGCCACCGAGACGCTCCCGGGATCCGGCGCCGCCGCTCTACTCAGGGGTGAGTGCGGACTGGGCGCGGGTGGCCCGAGGGAGCTCCGGAGTCCGGCCTGCCTGGAGCCGGGCGGACGCCAGACCGTCGGGGCTGGGAAGGCGGTAAGAGACAGAGAGGGAAAGCCTTGGAGGGACCGCGGGGCGACCTGTTCGGCTGGAGACGCCTGCGCGGGACGGAGCCGTCCAACAAAAGGGGGACGCGGGCAGCCGTTTTGGGAGGGGGGGGGACCGGCGGGCAAGGAGCTCCGTCTCTGGCCGTGAGTGTGCCTTCCTCCCGTTACCGTCTACGGGGCTGCCCCTTCTGTCTGCCGCCGCTCAGGCTAGGGCGGAGGAGCCGCCTCGTCGCCAGCAGCCGCTGCAGAGAGCGCGCTTGGTGAGGATTGTCCTGAGGCGCGCAGGCGAGGGTGGGTTGCGTGCCGCCCAGGGTGCCCGGGGAGAAGCCCTGAGGCTCGGAGTGTGCGTGTGGGGTCTGTGTCACCCCCAGGTGCCTTCTGGAAAGTTGCCTTCGGGCTGGCGGCGGATGGGGTGTCCCAGAGGTGCCCGCAGCGTTCCCTATTCGGGCTGGGGAGCTGCGAGTGCGCCGCGCTCCGCGCTGGAGTCTTGGGTGCGTAAAAACACCCGCTGGCGCCGAAGGGCTCCCCCCGCCCCCGCCAAGACATTCCAGCAGTGCGGCTCAGCGAAGGGTCGTGCAGCGTGAAGCCACGTGTACTGGGCGGTCTGGGGCGCCTGGACGCAAATGGGGGCACCGCAGGCAGCGGTCTAGGGAAAGCGCCTGGCTAGCGGCCGGTCCCTCGGAGGCCCCCTCTCCTGAAACCCTCTCAGATTGTCTGCAAGTTCCCACGGAATAGGTAGCGTCTGATTGGGCTCAGGGGCGGCATCTATCTCCCTTCTGCAAAGCCCTGGGGTGGGACAGGCCCCTCATCACAGGCCTTGGAGAGGGCACTGCGGAGCACCATGGCTTGGGCATCCCTGGGTGCGGCAGGATCTGCCCTCGGATGGGGTAATGCCCCTAGGAGCTGGCCCCTGATGTACCCTAAAGTGGTTCAAACCGGGGTACTCCTGGAAGGTCCTCAAGTCATTTGGAAGACAGAGGGGGAGCTCCTCGCACACCCCTCTCCAGATAATGTGAAAATGGAGTCTTCATTTCCCCCAGAATGGGGGCAGGGCTTTAGATTAGGGGATGGGTTCTGGTCGTTGGAGGGGCGGGGACTCTCGGAGTTGCCCCGCCATCTGCAGGCCCCTCGTTTCTAGGTCACCTCACCGCACTAGCCAGAAGAGCAGTGGTTTATTTGGCAGGATTCAGGTGCTCAGCTTTGGCGGGGGGCGAAAGAGGGACCATCTTCATGCAGTTGTTCCATGTTCTCCAAGTGTCAAACTGAGGTGGTTTCTGCTCCGTCTCTCAAAGCAAAAGAGGGACAGATGCCGCTCCGCGTCTTGTAGAAGCAATAACCGTTGGTGGTTTTCGCTTGAATACTGGAAGTTCAGGCTATGTGTGATGCTGGGTTTAATTTTTAATGAGCAGCTCCGAAAGTGTTTCCGGCCATCTTCCAACCAATGCTCCCTCTAAGCTGTGGAGTCTTGTGAGCAAAAACTCTACTTTGTGAGCTACTGGCATTAAAGTGGTGAGCGAGCAACTGGGCTACTGCATGGACGAGTTTGCTCTGGAGCCGTTCTTCCTGAGCTGAGACAAAATATGTGTGAGCTGGAGGCTAAAAAACTGTGTGCTAGCTCACAGTGACTCAGCTTAGAGGGAACACTGTGTTCCTACTCCTGTCCTGGTGGCTGCAAGTGACTGACCAATAAGGAAGTTGTTTGCAGTCCTGGGTGTCGAGTGGTGAAAATCAGGTGGGGATTTTGGAACTGTGGCCCCGGACTGGCGGCTCTGCTTTGAGACTTGACGTTGTAGGCCGTGTGCAGGCGATAAAAGCATTTCGTTTTCAAAGTGTGGGTGATGTGGCTCTCGCTGTACTGATCGGGGGATGCCCAGAGAATGGAGGCCGGAATGGGACATGTGATGGGTGCTTGGTGGACCACGGCGAGGGAGGAGTGGCAGGCTGGAGGGAGTCTGCAAAAAATTAAGTCAAAATGAGGTTGCTGAAGATTGAGAATTGCTGCCCTCAATAACCATCTGGTGGCTCTGCTTTGGGTGAAGTGTGGGTGATGTGGCTCTCGCTGTACTGATCGGGGGATGCCCAGAGAATGGAGGCCGGAATGGGACATGTGATGGGTGCTTGGTGGACCACGGCGAGGGAGGAGTGGCAGGCCGGAGGGAGTCTGCAAAAAATTAAGTCAAAACGAGGTTGCTGAAGATTGAGAATTGCTGCCCTCAATAACCATCTGGGGAACCTCTTATTCTTCCAAGCAGGAAATTCCTTGTTCTATCCAAGCTGGAAAGTGTTCTTCTTAGGCTAGGGTTTTTAAATCTCTGGGAATGCTGACAGTGGCGTAGGACTGGCTAGGAAATGCAAAGTTTGTCCTGTGCTCACGTATTCATTCTGAGTCGTAAGAACATAAGGAAAGTGTGCTGGATCGGTCCAGAGGCCCACGCTGTCCGACAGCATGTTTTGCACAGTGGCCAACCAGTGGTCCCAAAGAGCCAACCAACAGGGCACGGAGGCCAAGGCATTCCCTGATGTCATCTTCTGTCCACTGGTGTTCAGCAATTGGCTGCCTCTGAATTTGGAGGTTCCCTGAAGTCACTGTATCTAGTAGCCATTGGTAGACCTCTTCGCCACAACTCTTTAATTCATAAAGGGGGTGGTGGGAAGTGTTCTCAAGTCCAAGTCGACTTATGGGAAACCCGTAGGTTTTTGAAGGCAAGGGATGTTCAGAGGTGGTTTTTGCCGTTGCCTGCCTCCGTGTCACGGCCCTGGTATTCTTCGGAGGTCTCCCATCCAAATACTAGCAAGGGCCGATCCTGCTTAGCCTCCAAGATTTAATGAGAATTGACTGGCCTGGTCCATCCAGATCTGGGCAATTCAGAAAGCAGCCTTGGGCAAATGACTCTCTCTGTCAGCCCCAAGTTTGCGACAAGGAGACTATAAGGGTGGCCTACCTAACAGGACTCTTGTTAAGAATCCTTGAGATAATGCATGCAGTCTGCTTTGAACACTGAAAGCACTAAATACATGCTAAACATTATCATAGCCAATGCTCCCTCTAAGCTGTGGAGTCTTGTGAGCAAAAATTCCACCTTATGAGCTACTGGCATTAAAGTTGTGAGCGAGCGATTGGGCTACTGCATAAATTAGTTTGCTCCGGAGCCATTCATCCTGAGCTAAGACAAAAAAATGTGTGAGCCGGAGGCTAAAAACCTGTGAGCTGGCTCACCCTAACTCAGCTTAGAGGAAACATTGATCATAGCATTTCTGTGCAAGGCAAGAGAGCATTCTGGGAGATATTATTTTTATTTCTAGCTTATTTCTTGAAACTATTATTAGGAGGTTGCAGAGTAAAGGAATAAAACACAAAACAGGCATAAGAGAGCCTTGGACAATGTGTAATGGAAGTGAGCCTGCCATGCCCAGGCAATCTACCCATGCTGGCTCATGCTTGACTACTATAGAATACTTTGCATGGGACTGCCCTTAAGAATGATTCAGAAACATCAGTTGTTTCATAAGAACATGAGAGCAGCCAATGTTGGATCAGGCCAATGGCCCATCCAGTCCAACACTCTGTCACACAGTGGCCAGAAATACCAGGTGCCATCAGGAGGTCCAGCAGTGGGGCCAGGACACTAGAAGCCCTCCCACTG